CATTTGAGCACACCAGGTTGCTAATTCGCTACGTTTTTCTCGTTCAGTTTCCAAAAAAGATGAATATAAGCGAATTCTCTGCGTCTCCAAAAATGTTGCAAGATTTAAATAAGAAGGAATTGGCCTGCAATGTTCAGCGTATGATAATCATTTACCATTTGCTTACTCGTTGCCAAACACCAATGGAATTCGATGCACTGCACAAGGAAATGCGAAGATGCATTCTTTTAAGTCATTTTCATCTAGCTTTCATTTATCAGAGTATTAAATCCTGGATGAGGACCAAAAGTATGCCTAAATATTCAGTGTCAAATAAAAAATATGACAATATGATAGTGATGTTTGATTGCCATGTTTTTGACCAATCGCTATCTTCCAACTTCTGCCATGATTGGAATGATTGGCGAGGAAACAAACTCACTGTGATTATGCAAGATTAGGCATCTCCTCCTTATAAAGATAGATGTGAAAACCAAAATTTGTTCAGATCTTCGTTTTGCTGCATAATCCACCAGTACATAAAGCATTTTACAGTCAGAAAATAAAATCATAATTTCTCAGTCAATTTAACGAGACGATAATTGCCTCATGCATCCGAAATAGTTTTTATCTGGAAGAAAAATATACCTGTTTTTTGGTGTCATAAAAAACGGTCAATCGAATCCGTCTCCACCAAATATGATAAAAAAAATAATTCTATCAGTAAAATAATTTCTGTCTTTTGGAACTTACCCAAAATTATTAAGGGAAATATCCTCCAAGAGAATTACGGGAAGTTTTGGAATTGCTGCAGAGAATACTAAGAAATAGCAATAAAACAAAACCAAAATTTAAAGAAAGCTGTCTAGCACAAAATAATCGACATGCATTTTTCAAGAAATGCTACTAAGCAAATTAGATCGGGCACATTCAAACAAAATGAGTGAGCTTAATTTGCACTTAGACCATCATGTGTTATCAAAAAGTATCATTTCCCGGTTTCTGTATCTATTTCTACTTGATTTTCTTACACATTCTATGATTCCTTTGTGTACTGTTTCAGTGTCCTCTAAATCTTGCCAGAATCCAAAAATATGCTGGCTGCACGACAGAAGGAAGTGAGGAAATGTTTGAAGAATTTCAGCTGCCACGTCTTAATCACTTTTTTATTCCATCATATTTCAAGCATCAAGCATCAAGTTTTGACTTATTGGCCTAAGGAAAAGAGAACTCTTTCCTGGAACAAAGGGCTCAAATTCACTTGCTCTTAATCGAGGAGTTTTGGAAGAAAAAGATGGCTAAAAAAGTTGAGCAAAATCGCTAAATTCAGCCTTTTGCTTGGCTTGTGTTTGATGAAATAGGCTGATTTATTTTAGACGAGACCAACTAATAGTTTAATTTATCATTAATGGGCAACTCTTAAAATTGACTTTTACCAACAATATATGTTATGATGTTGGGCATCAAAGGACTGTGTCTCAGCTATGAGAAGTTTTCAGTATACTGACTGTTTATTGTTACTGAAGACAACACATTTAAGGTATACGGCATACGTATAGGTTTCTAGCAACGCTATTCAAATTGATTCTATGCAAGTAGACAACGATGATGTGTTAACTGGACATCTGGATGGATTCTTTGTTGAACAAAGCGTTTGTTCATGAATGTTTCAAGGAAATTTGCTAAGGAATATTTTATTTCGGCTGTTTGGTTCGGTAATGTTCACAGAATGAAGATGATGCCGTTAACTAGGTTTAAGTATCTTGCAATCTCGTATACAAAAATTTCAATTTTATAGTTATATTTTTGATCAATTATGATTCAAATAAAATATAAATAGTAGGCCTTAATTAGTTTTGAATTAGCTGCATCTGCTTTCTAGCCTACTGTAAATAAATAAATTTGAAGGTGGCGATTAAGACTTCAATTCCAACTGATGCCACTGAATAATTGTCTTTCTCAATGGTTTATTGTCTGCACTAAGATAAATGGAATAATAGTTTCTATGCTCATCTTTCTTGTTTTGCTTATCTTTTCTTGTTTTGCTCATCTTTTCTTGTTGACCAAGGATATTTGAAATTCAGCATCAAATAGTACATTAATTGATATATCTCTGATATAAGCTTTTTAAGCATCGACATTACGTCAGTATACATTCCGTTCAAATATGGTCTCACTTTTTCTGAATCAACATGTTCCACACTCTCACAACCATACCATATTTTTTATGCCAATGACTTTTCTTCGTAATTTTTACAAAAAATTGCCTACATGCACAGCAACTGTGCATAAATTATGAAAATTACAACAAACCGACTCTCCAACTGATTCTTTTGTAAAACTTTTTACATCTTCAAATTTTGTTATGGTACAAAAAATTTTGGAATCAATTTCATCCAGGAGGCATGTTCAAACAAATAAATAAAGCAATTATGAGATTTTAAGCATCACTGAAAATGAGGAATGTAAAATCTTTTACAATCCAGACTCTTTTATGCAGCGCAGTTTGTGAAGAGGTGCAAGTAGAGTTCTTTTTTTACAGCTCTTATTGTTATAGGCCATCTTTGTATCGTTTTCTTAACGTTATAGGTAGTTCGTGGTAAATATGTCTTTCCTTTACTCTTATCATACCCAGTTTCATTAAGAATTTGAAAATCAGCTTTGACCCAACTACCGTTAAAAGTATAGTTCCAACAATGCCAGCAATTATATAAAGAGTGTTGATGCAAATCTTTCGAGCAGAATCAACATAATGTTTCAATTCATGCTTCAGTTGTTTTCGATAAGCCTCACTGTCGTAAATGTTGTCCGGCATTCGCGCCTTTATTACCGGAAAAACGCACGGTTTGACATTCATCTCAAGCTTCTCCATCAGTCTTTTGAAGTCTATGTTACACGCTTGTCTATCTTCAGTATCACAAAGTTCTGCGTGCAAACGCTGCACGCGTATAATTTCATCTGCGTTGAATTCCTTGACAGTGTTACGAATAACATCTTCAGTCTTGCACACGCGAACTCAATCTCTTCTGTACATGCTACAGTTCGAATTTGTCTGATATTGATCACACAGCGTGCCCCTCATATAACAGCTTCAACGTCTACATTGTCACGTTATCAAGTTACAAGTATCCAAGCAGTTAACGGATGAAATTTGAAATATGCCACAGTAAGTTTTCTGGCCAACGCATCTACATATCAGGTTCACGCATTTACTTATGGCAGCAATGCTATATGTCACCTCACGTAAAAAGTAAAAAACTATTATTCTATAATACCAAAAACTGGTATGAGCACATTGTCGCTGAAATTCGAGTCCATGAGCATTAATGTAAAGTACTCGTGAAAAAAAGTGAGAATGCGACATTTTGACCCCGCTTCGACCATTCTTCCTTCAGCCTGTATCTCTGTCCTTTTCTTGATTTCGTCGCCTCTGAGTTTCTCAATCTCAATGCCGGTTTATACTTCACCTACTCCTTCTTCGTCTATACCCTGGGATTGCCATGTGGGCAATCGGTAATGTTCTTTAAGCTTCCTTTATGTCCTTAAGAACTTTAGGTGTGAGCACAATATAGTCACGGTTAAAATAAAACTAAGACATTGATTTCATCTCCGATTTACATTCAGCACGCGTCACTTTCTTCTAATGCTATACCTTACAGCCTCATCGCTTCTTGTGATTTTTATATCATGCAAGCTTCTTTACAACAGTTGCTAGCTCGCCATTTTTACAGCTTTGTCTATTCGTTGCAGTTCTTCGTACGCGTCTCCCTCTAGAGGATGGTTCAATGAAGCATCATCTCTGACCAGAACCTGCTCAACAAATTGACCTCAGAAACCTGCGATTCTCTTGCCTGTGAATTGATCTGCTCTACATAATATCTCTCGACAGCGTGGAATGCAATTTAGATAGACTTAGCTTGATTTACTGCCACCTCAGTTCTCTTGGCCTCTCCTCGTCGTAAACATCCATCCATCATACCGCGTGTGTGTGTATATCACTAGTGCCTTATGACACTGGAATGTTTCTAATAGGTTTTTCCTTTAATCTATTGATTTACTATGATGTAAACTGCCTCCTTCACTTTTCTCCTTCATGTTTCCCGCTAAGCTCATGTTTTGCCAGTCAATGCGATTGCTAATAGCTCGTGAGAGGCTAACACCTTTGCAACGATGTCGAATCAATTCTGAATAACAGCGTGTTTTTCAACTTGCCTCAGTTGCCAAGCAAATCTCACGTTGTAATAGTCAGTAATGATCCTTCTCTCCTATAGACATCTTGGAGTAAACATCACAGTGATCATGCGAAGATTGAGCTCCTTGGCCCCCCATTAAGCACCGGGTGCACATGACTGTAACATACTTCCTTATAAATCCTATAGCCGTAAACCGTTATAGCTGCGCTCCTCAATGTGATTATAATGTCCGGCTATCCTTTCCCGCTACGTGTAAACGGATACATCTTGCCACTTTAATAGCTGACAACTACAGCCAACCTGTTCTTCCAGCACACTCTTCAAGTGTCTTCCTAGCCTATGTGGTCGCAAAAAAGGTAAGATTAGAAGTTATTTGAAGCGACATACGTGAATCATGTCAAGATTTCTCGACATTGCATTTAAGCAAAGAGCGGTCCGCTGGTAAATGCAAAAACTAGAGCTACAGAAATTTATGTCTCTTCATTTTGAGTGAAATGCGCTCTACTCCGTTAATAATTAATCTAGATCGTAAGTCGTTTTTGTGTGTGCGCGTGTGTCTCCATCCCATATGACAGAGATATATTCAAATTTTACTTGCTTGCCTCTGTGAGGTGTAACGGGGGCGCCAGAATTTGAGCCAGTGTTTATACTAGTGATGTGTTGTCCTTGGGTGTGGCTCCTCGGCTGAGGACAACGATCTGATTGCTATCACCAACCTTTTGCCCGGACCACTCAACTCTTCTCTCGCGAGAGTCGCCAAAATACCTCTATCAAAATCATAATAGTTGTTCTCAAATTAATATTGGCATTAAATGTGCAATTGCTCCAACATGAAGAAATATTCACTGACAAGCAGCTTAAATATGACTACGATCAAAGCTGCTCAAGATGCACACATGTTAATCTATCGATTTTTTCAACGACCTACGATCTGCGCGAACAAAGCAATTTATTATTGGTATTTTTACTGATATATGCTCAGCCTGAAGGAAGATTTAAAATGTGCACAATTTATCGACAAGAATTACATCCTACAGAGCTATAGTTTCAAAAATTGACTAAGTAGAGATAGTAGGATCGAAAGCGAGACTCAAGAACTGTACGGTAAGCTATCAATCTACAAACTCAGGACTCAGGCTTTATTTCCCAACAATATAAAAGTTATGTTTTGCAGAATGTGCGCAATTTTATCGGCGTTTTTTCACCTCATACATTTTCCAAACCGGAAAATCTTTGTTAATCGTCAGTGGGAGATCAACTTGATACCTAACAAATGCTACATGATCACATATCCGATTCAAAAGCTTTATCCAGTACTAAGATGTCTCAATTTTATAACCAGTCTCTTTGGCGGAAAGTAAAAACAGTAATATTTCGATTGTCATTGCTAAACTTAGAAGCA